TTCTGCCGCTGCAGTCAGCTGGGCCTTTTTTCTCTGGATGCCTTGGCCCCAGGTGCTCCTCCCACCTTCTCTTCCCACCCTCCCTATCCAGCAAACGCTTTCTCACACTTTAAGGACAGCTGAAGATCTTGCTTCTCTGAAGTCTGCCCGGGATCCCCCAGCAGAGAGTGGTTTCCAGAGCTCACTGTGCCCTTCCACGAGGCTCTTACCACAACACACTCCAGACCATGAGCACCGTGGGGGTGGGGAGGAGGCCTGTGTGTGTCTTACCAATCTGGTACAAGGCGAGTGCCAATGAGCACTAAATTTGGGACAGCAGAAGGAAGGATACGAAGGCCCTGGTGTGTTCTATGCCCTGTGAGAGGAGGCTCGGCCTCGACACATCACAGGCCGCCAGGGCACACCTAGAGTGAGGAACGGCAAATACTTTCTCTTCAGCTCCGGAATTCCCACCGCCACCCTCCAGGAGGTCTCTACCAACCAAATGAGGTTGGCATGAGGTAAAACCTGTTTGCCAACGCTGGTCTTGATTACTCACCACACCCAGTAGACCCCAAACTTGAAACATGCAAGGGGGCCTGTGGTGGTCTGGGCAGGGGCTGCTGGCCAAAGTCAGTGCACTGGGGCAGGAAGAAGGGACGGATGACACGAAGGAGCAGCTCTTGTCCTTTATATGCCTCCAGCATCCCATGCTTAGTGTCTGTCTGTTCAATTAAAGACCCCTTCAGCCAGGCACAGTGGCTTATGCCTGTAATCCCAACACTTTGAGAGGCCGAGATAGGTGGATCACCTGAGGCCAGGACTTGGAGACCAACCTGGTCAACATGGTGAAACCCTGTCTCCACTAAAAATACAAAAATTACCTGGGCGTGGTGGCGCACACCTATAACCCCAGCTACTCGGAGGCTGAGGCAGGAGAATCTCTTGATCACAGGAGGCAGAGGTTGCAGTGAGCCGAGATCGCACCACTGCACTCCAATCAGGGACAAGAGCGAAACTCTTGGCTTAACAACAACAAAAAAACCCTTCACCCCACACACCCTACAAGAGGCATCTCAGAGGGAGGGAGTCAGGGCTGCTTTGCCATTTGGCCCTCCCACATGGGAATGAGTGGCCAGCGCATTCCTTTCTCTGCCTTTACCCTGCAGGGCTCTGATTTAGCCAAGCAGCCTCTGGTTTGCTGGAGGCAGAGAGATGGTTGGTGCCTGCACCTGCCAGGGCATTTGCCTCCTGCTCTGACCACTGCTCGGAGCCCAGCCATACTCATTTATATCCCACAAGCAAGGAACTCAAGAAACTGTGGCCGCCACATCTATTCCCTCTCCAGCTTTACCGACAGAGAAGCAAAAGACACACGTACACGTAGCCGATGATATCAGCATCTGGCTGCTGGTAGAATGCTTTGTCAGCGATCCTTGAGGGAAAGGTTGAGGGAAGGGGTTAGGTGGGGAAAGATAGATGGCAAGACAGACAGGCAGGCAGAGGGTTAAAGAGAGAGAGAGACAGCATTAGTACCTCCAGTGGGAGAGGTGTTAGGAAGCATAGTTCTGGAAGGCTCGGCAATGATCCACAGCCCCAAACAAGAGAATGGGGACCTCCGCCCTGGCCCCAGCGCCTTCTCTAAAATTCATCCCTGATCATGTTACTCCTGCTCAAACACCTTCAGAGGCTCCCCACTGCCCGTCACTGCCTGACTCATCAACAGAGGCCCTTACAATGTGAGTCCATAGCCTCCTGCCTTCTCTCCCTCCACCCCCTGGCCCCTGTTGCCCAATACATCACATTTTTTCTTTCGTACCTAGGTCTAGAATGCCCTCCCCTACTCCCTGCACTTTTTTCCTGATGATCTCCTAGTCATCCTCCAAAGCCCAAGTCCCCAGACACAGAGGTCCCTCCCTGACCCATTTCCTTGCTTCCATGGCCTTCGTGCAGAGGGCCCTACTGTATTTGAACTCAGTTGAACATGTGTGTTTTTCTCTCTGCGCCCTTTGAGGACATAAGACACGGTCTTCCTTATCTCTATCTCCTTAGTGCCTACCCCAGAGCCTGGCATGCAGCAGTTTTCTGGACAGAAGGGTAGCTGTCTCCTATGGCAGGCCTTTCCCTTCCTGGAAGACCTTGGACCCTGAAGGCGGTAGCCTCAAAAGCAGGGAGCACCGGGCAGTATTCAGTCTGAGACCATTTCCACAAAGGTGCTCTCTGCTGGGCATCTGCTATCTTCATCTGCCCAGCATCCATCCTCTTCTTCCAGGAAGGGCACCCTGATTGTCCTCTGCTGGACCAGGTTGCCCCAGCTTCAGTCCCTGTGGTTTGAGTGGGACTGATCCCTATGTACAACCCAAGGAATGGGACTACCACCCAGACTAGGGCCCCCAGGCTAGTCACTGGGCCTGGCATGATCCAAGCCAGTGAGGGTCAGGCCAAGGACTTGAGCTGGAGCTCTGGGGCACAAGGTGCTATTTTCACTAGGGCTGCCAAGAGAATAGGGCAGAAGCCTGGAGTTGCTGCTGGCCATCTTTCCCTCCACATCAGGGTGCGGGCCCGACAGTGAAGCGCAGCTGGAGGAAAGGACAGCAGACGCAGTGAGTGAGTGTGGACGGACTTCACCGGAGCCCCTCGCGCCCCAGTACCCACCATCCTACCCCTGGCCTTTGTAGGTATACAGCCTGTGATTCTTTTATCCTTTAGCCACTCAGGTTGGCATTTCTCCAGCAGTAAAATCCCATGCACAAGTTGCCTCTTCACCTTCAGTGCGGCTTGTGCTGTCTCTGACCCTAACTCTGGCCACAGGGGGCCACACCTCACTGTTGGCTGCTGGGGCCTGGACCCCTTTAGCTGCCTCTCAGACTCAGCTTCCTCTTGAAAGCAGGTGAGGCCTCCACGGTGGAGCAGCTCCAGGGGTCCCTGAACTCCACGAGCAAATGAGGAAGCAGCCCTGGAGTTTCCCTTCTCCTTC